ACCACCTTAACCCATTTTCTACATGCTACCATTCCATTGCATACATTTTACCATTCTAACCCATTTTCTACCTGCTACCATTCCATTGCACACATTTTACCACCCTAACCCATTTTCTACCTGCTACCATTCCATTGCATACATTTTACCACCCTAACCCATTTTCTACCTGCTACCATTCCATTGCATACATTTTACCATTCTAACCCATTTTCTACATGCTACTATCTCACTGCATACATTTTACCACCCTAACCCATTTTCTACCTGCTACTATCTCATTGCATACATTATACCACCCTAACCCATTTTCTACCTGCTACCATTCCATTGCATACATTTTACCACCCTAACCCATTTTCTACCTGCTACTATCTCATTGCATACATTATACCACCTTAACCCATTTTCTACATGCTACCATTCCATTGCATACATTTTACCACCCTAACCCATTTTCTACCTGCTACCATTCCATTGCATACATTTTACCACCCTAACCCATTTTCTACCTGCTACCATTCCATTGCATACATTTTACCACCCTAACCCATTTTCTACCTGCTACCATTCCATTGCATACATTTTACCACCCTAACCCATTTTCTACCTGCTACCATTCCATTGCATACATTTTACCACCCTAACCCATTTTCTACCTGCTACCATTCCATTGCATACATTTTACCACCCTAACCCATTTTCTACCTGCTACCATTCCATTGCATACATTTTACCCATCCGCATAAATGCCTGTTCAGATAAAATCCATTTCCACCCAACCATGTTTGCATCCCATATACAGATTCAACCAATTTAACCTGTGTTTGGATCCCTCACCAATTAAGTTTGTTTAAGTTCAACTATCTTTGTCTCTCTCAGCAAGTCAGCAGCCCATTTAACCACTCTACTGAAAACACTAATGCCCAGAATATCACAAAATTAAAAAAAAATATTAAGTTATGAATCATCCATATTGAATGTGTCCGTTTTTTTGTTCAGGAGGAACAAAATGGGAGTCAAAAAGGGTGAAGACAAGAAAAAAAATACCACCTTTTGTAGCTGACCTGTTGGTGAAAAAATACAATTTAAAAAAGTGTTTCCTAAGGAATTAAAACATGTTAAAAACATGGAAAAATAAAAAAGGTAGAAAAGTGAAAAATACAAGAATAAAATTATGAAAAGTTATAAAATAAAAAGACTAAGAAGTTTAAAAGTTAAAAATAAAGAAGTTAAAATATTGAAAATAAAATTGAAAATATAAGAGTGGTTCATAGGCACTGCTTATTTAAATGTGTTTTTTGTGTCTTGATATATATTTTTGCATAACAAATTTTCGTTATGTGACTGACAAGATCTTGTGTGACCTATCTGCAATTAATGGCATTGTTATTCAGCATTTAAACATTATCTTCCCGCCAAATCCTTAGTTCAACATTTTGAAAAGAAACAACAATTTTTATTAATTTTAGACCAAATGAATGTAATCTTCCATTACTAACATTTTAGAAAGAGTTTCAGAATTGCCAAAAACTTTGTTACATTTTGAAAGTTGGTAATTTGCTTCATACTAACACCTCCATATTGGTGTTGATTGATAAAATACAGAGATGAAAACTATGCGACCAATCAATAAATTCTGTAAGAAGCACTGTTTTCAAAATCAGTGCCTATGGACGGGTCTCAAAATGGTAAAATATTAAAAATAAAGCAAGAAAAATGGATTAAAAATGAAAATAAAGAAAAAGAAAAATGAAAAAATAGGTGGTTGAAAAAATGGGTACTCACCAGGTGGGCAAATTGGACAACATTCATTTTCCCGATATATAGGGTCATTACATTTCGGAAGCTCACAACTTACTGTCGTACAAACTGTTGTACTATTGGTGCAGTTACAAGTGGAACACACATTAGCTTCCCAGGTCTCACCACTAGCATAAATCCTGCCCAAATATAGGCAAGGTCTAGCTTCATCTAGATTACGAGCGAACAATGTTCGGGGGAAAAAAAAAACTCATCTTTAAGTAACTTTGACCTAAGTCGTGTGAAGAAAATACAACTACGATTGCTAAAATATTCTGCGCGCACACATGCCACTAGAAAATAGACAGCGCCCTCTATCAACATAAAAGTTAATCACTTATTATTGGTCAAAACTCACACTTATGCAATGCATTATAAGGGAAATACTCATTTAATTTAAATTAAATGTTGGAATAGAGAAAAGCAATGCAGTATGGGATAAATTTACCTAGATCTTGGGTAGATACTCAATACAGAAAGATACTGATTAAGTTCTACTGGTATCATTAAATGTGTGTAATTTGTTTTAAACGGCAGTGGTCGTTGTACAGTGCGTGTTTGAATTTCATGTAAAAACTATATATTTCACACGCGTTGTGTTCGACGCTATGAGTCTCCATATTCAGCACACAACACTGTGACAACCACCAACCTTTAATCAAACGAGAAAATGCCTAGCATTCGTGACTGAAACAGATTAAGCCTATCAGTATTTATATAACCTTAAAACCTAATATAGTCTATAAACTGCAACAATTTGTGTGAAATTGGAACATTTTCATTCATACCGAAAAGGAAACTCTGGTGGCGGAAACAGTAACGAGAAATGTCTGCAAATTTTTTCTCTGTTTTGTTGTGGTTTTGAAGTCACAAGAACACAAATTATGCAACTGATATTTGAAAATCATTCAAGTTTGTGCACAATTTATGGCATGTATGTGTGACACACACTTTTCACTCTAGTTATATCATTTCTAACACAATTCTATGCAATGCTATTTACACAGCATGATAAAGGTCAGTAGGGTTATTGTACAAGGAAGTAAACCTACCTCATACACCAGTATCACAGCTGGTTTATATGACAAGGTGTCCTGATCACTAAACGTAACCTATTGCTTTATTTGCTTGAAATTCCAGCAATACAGTAATATGTAAATTATTAGCTGTAAGTGCTAGTCACGTACAGATCAAAGTAAAAGCAGTAGCCATCACTAAGAAAAGCAAACTCACAGGTCAATATTACTACCAGGATTTTTTTTCCCACTGACTTATAAGCATTGGTTATTTTACCCTATAACAGACAAGTTTTTTTTCCTTCTAACACAAATTTATATATTCTTCTGAACTTTTAAAAGTTGGACCAAATATGGCAAAATTATCCTTTAAAAAATATCAATTTATTATTTATGGTCTACAGGTTTTGAAGAGAAAAATTCTGGTTTTCAAAAAGATCACAGTATAACTTTAATCAGTTTGCAATTTATATTGCTTCAGTCACGAATATTGAACATTTAGAACCCCTCCCCTGAAGGTATGAGCATTATTTTACTAGAAATGCGTTTTCAAAAGAAACTCGCAGATGAAGTGTTTGTGTAAGCAAATAATTGATGAGCATTAAAACTTGGTGCAATATGCAAATTTAATGTAAATTAGTTGCAGTATAAATAACTGACAAATGACAACAGCCAATCAAATCATTTTATTTAATATGTGCAAATACTATGCAAATACAGCAATTACATTACCTTTCGAAAAGCGTACAGCACTGTGAAAATCAAGAACAGAATACATTACAGTAAAATCTAAACATTTTAATACAGGTGTATATAGAAAATACATTGCTTGGCTGTGGACTGTATAAAATGATACACTATAGGAAAGGAAAGGTATATAGGGATGGGATATAAAGGCAAACAAAACATGCCACCTGCTCCCATCTCACTTTTGTTGGCTGAGAAACACTTAACAATGTTAGCTATGGCGTAGAATTTTTTTGTGACCACCCTTAATGCTATAGTATAAATGAGTGTGGTATAATGGAACATGGTATAATGTAATAATGGTATATAATGATGAAATGTATTTTATTTGCAATTATCATTTTTACCATGGTATTTATGTCACTACAAGTGTCTTAGGCCAAAATGTGTGTGAATTCAAATGATTTTCAATTAAATTTATATTTTTTTGTGTTTGTTTAATCTCCAGAATGGTTATGAAAAATCTAGAACAAAAAAAAACAACACAGTACAATCACAACATTTAAAACACAAAATATCCACTGCATGTTCAACCTGTTGAAAGAAACGAACACAGAACACGATCAACATTTTGAATCAGAGCAAGGAAGAATCTACACTGGTCTGCTGGGGGCTTGCAACAAAGTAGCAACGGCATGTTAATTTGCATATATGCAAATTGAAGCAACAGGTGACAGTGCGTATGTTAAGCTCTAGTTACTATAGCAACAGTATTTCTTCAATGTAGTCAAGCAGGACATTGAAGAACCACTGCACAAGCAAACAGACCAGACTTGGTTAAGGAAGGGAAAAAAAACAAGAAAAAAATGACATGAAGATGACCAAGACAGTGTGGTGAATCACAAACAGAGCAGCAAAGACAAGTTATAAAAAAAAATTTTGATTCAAAAAAAATTAGGAAACAAACCAGAGTGTTGAAATGGTGTAATTAAAAGTTTCTCAGCCAACGTAAAGCCTTGCTGAGGTCAGGTGATAGACCGGCCTGTGCAAACATCTAGTATGGTGAGAGGCGGTGAGAAGGAATTGCAGCGGTGCGCCCCCTGAAAACAGACCAGCTCAATCCTGTAACTAGACATGCCTTGATTAGAATATCAATATTACATAAGCAGCGGCAGCAGTGTGTATTGTCATCTTGTCAAATAAACAATGTGATAACAGTAAACACATTGGACCAATCATGCAGTGTTTACAATAATGTGGATATGAGGCAAATAGTGTTGGGATCAAAATTAATCATGCAGTATCATGCTGTTCCAAATGCTGCCATCTATTAGAAGTGCATCTTACATGTGTTTTATGTGTATCAAACTCACAACATTCAAAATGCAACAAATTTCTCATTCAATAGAGTACACTTCTAATAAAGCAAATATGGTAATTGGGTAAACATATCTGGTATGTAAGGGAGGATGCTTATAACATGCAATGGCCAGGTATTCCATATTCTGACCTTACCCCTTCCCCTTCCATGTACAATTTGGGCTAATCTGCACTGGCTCGGAAGGTTGTAAATGATTAGCTAGTTTGAATTTGCATGAACGTGCATTCAGCGCCACAAGTTTTTTTGTTTTTTTAGCAAATCAGAATTCATCTTCCGAGCCAGTGCAGATCAGCCGTACAATTTCAGAAAGAAAACTCTAGAGGGCAGGCATGCTGGTCAGTTACATGCAGAAAAGTATACAGTCATGAAAAAAAAATACAACCTTGAGAAATCACCACAAAAAAATTATTTAAAAGAATAACACCTTCAGTGCCAAATTTTGTGGGGTTAAAAAAATTGAAAACATATTCTGTTCTTGATTTTGAGTTAAAGCAAACAAACATGTGTGTGAATAATTTCTGGCATAACTGTGACTAGAAATTCTATTAGTCTACGCAATTCTAGCAAACACTATTATTAATCACCACTGCAAATTCTATTTTTATTGAAATTTTTAACTTTTTTACTAGTTTTGTGTTTTTTGGGGGGATAATAGATGCCAAAAGGACAATGCTTATCACAAAATTAGGAACAAAATTTTCAAAAAATTAAAAAAATCTTGAAAAATTTTGCTTAATTTGGCAGGGAAAAATCAGACTTTGCAGTGTAGAAATGAAAGTGATGAGGCAAAAACACTATCAGTGAGTTTCTATGGTTAACTATTAAATTACAAACTACAGATAATTATCAAGCATATGATATATATCAAGCGAAAACACTCCTTATCTGCAGGCTACTGA